CACACCCCACACACACACAAAATCGACGCACACCCACCTCATTCACCGCCATCACACGCAGCCGGCTTCTCTTACTCAGAGAACGCCACGTGTAGGGTGGTATTGATCGAGCTAATAATCCTGCTGCTAGGACAGGACCCCGTGATCGTTGTTCCTGTACACGTTTCGACAATATACGGACTACGGAGACATATTTTATTAATCACACGATTACAGAGAATTGTAAGATATCTATTACCACGTTTACGACTATTACGTCTTGATTCTGAGTACAAATAATCGACCATTTATCTTCACCTGTCTGGTGTTTTAAGCACCAGCAGCAGCAGCAGCCAGCCGTGTTTACATCAGCAGCCCAGAACGTAAAGCCACTGTTGTGGCAATAGTTAAACATCGTTCCTAAACCGTTCGCTGACCTGCAATTGAACAATAGAACGGGACTTCAGAATATGCCAGTTGTATTTAAGTATTAAAGGGACAGGTAGCCTCTAGGATTTACTGCATACAACCTGTCCCTTACTGTAATAAGTCAAATCGTCTATACCCACCACGTATTTGTTACCAGATACCCTAATTAATTGTTATAGATTCTTACACATCAACGTCTCACGAAATTGAACCGGCGCGCCTGACACCCCGCGAGTCCGCGTGCTGCCCCAGCGCCGCAAAAAAGTTTTTTTTTTTTTTTTTTTTGTTTTTCCGTATTTAACAATTCTTTGCGCAGTTACAGCATCCCGCATGGCTAACTCGACAAAAGCTGCAATTATATTTATACTAAATCGCTATTTCAAGGCCGGAACGCCCTCTTCACCTTTTAGGCACATTTATGCCATATCTATACCGCACTGAAAACTATACGTGTCCGTCTATCGCAGAAATTCACAAGTCTTCTCTTCGCTTTAAAGATGAATCACATACGCAACCCCGCCTCGTCTGTCAGCCTGTGGCCTGGCAAAGTGGTTATTGGCAACTTTATCAGATCGTGCGTTCACCTGGCGCCAACCCGTCCTTGGTACAACTGTAGGCTCGTAGTTAAAACCTTTTCCTTTAATAATATTTCTCAATAGTCTATTGAACCATGAAACTGTTTTCATGTCGCGTAATTATTAAACCTAAATTCAAGCTCTGAAAATCACCCTAGAACCTGAGAGTACAACTCTCCGCTTCAATTGTACTCCTCCCTCGAGATGTTTGCAAGGTCGCCTCAACGTTGCAGTCAGTAAAATATCACCATCATCCTGTCCTTACATCATCGGTTTACAAGCGGCCCATCACGCGACCAATGACAAAACTCACCGGTTACTTATCACCGTGGCAACTGCACAGGGCGGGCGATCAGATAAAATATTGTAATGCAATCCAGCCAGGTTATCTAGCTTTGGGGCAGCAATTTTTCGATTGCTAGGTCTACGATTAAGCGTTGCACGCTGAAATTGGCGTTCATGCCGACAAGCGCGTTTAGCTTAAAATCGCATCTTTTCGCACATATTCCATCGCGACTGCTGGTCATTCTACCGAGCCTTGGCAGTCATAGTATTCATTATCCCGGAAATACACGCAAGGCTGCCATAAGCGGAAGCATGCCACTTGTGATCTGAACGGGGGGGGGGGGTGTTCTCATTCCTCCATGCTTCGTACCTTATTTCACTCCCTGTAATTAAGGCCTAACTTGACCCTCTCCGCCGTCGGCAGCTCCACATGCTCATCATACTACCGCCAAGAACAGTTGCCGAACCCACTCCACTTGCACTTTGTACCGCAATTACCACTTTTCAAATTTCAACTTCACCTCTTCCTCCTCATCACCCTGGAACCTAGATCATCAAGTTAAACCATCAACAACTCAACATAAATTGATCAAATTAATAACAACAAAACAATAGCAGGAACGAAGCAAGATTGCGTAGGACAAAACAAAACAAAAGACTTTTTCACATATATATGTAAGCATAGCGAAATTATCACAGTAGATGCATTATTATTAAATCCATAATAAAGGAAATCATATATGTACAGGAAGGTTTGCGTACAAAAATACGTAGGTTAGTGAAAAAAACACGTGACAAAAATAAATAAATAATTAATATAAAAATTATATAACAATATAAATTAACAAATCAGTGAAAATGATAACTTAATTACTGAGAGCAAAATAACCACATCACAGTCCATCGTGCGCTTTAAGTGGCGCCACCGTCGTTGTAACCAAACTGTAGTCGTTAGTTTTAAAACATTTTTTAATAATATTTCAAATTGTTATTGAACCATGAAACTTTTTATGTAGCGTAATTATAACCTAAATTAGCTGAAAATAACCCTAGAACCTAGAGTAAACTCTCCCTTTAAATTGTAACTCCTCACTCGAGATGTTGCAAGGCGCATCAACGTTGGCAGTCAGTAAAATATCACCATCATCTGTTTACATCATCGGTTTACAAGCGTCACGCACCAATGACAAAACTCACCTACTTATCACGTGGCAACTGCACAGGGCGGGCATCAGATAAATATTGTAATGCAAAGCAGGTTATATATGCTTTGGGGGAAGCAATTTTTAGATGCTAGGTCTAGATTAACGTTGCAGCTGAAATTGCAGTTCATCACGAAAGCTTTAGCTTAAAATCGCATCTTTCGGCACATATTTCCATCCGATGCTGGTATTTACGAGCCTTGCACATAGGTATGCACCCCCATTACATTACCGGAATACAGCAAGTGCATAATGGAACATGCCACTTGTGATCTGAACTGTTTCATTTCTCCATGCCTTCGTATTATTTCACTCTGTATATTAGGCTAATTAGCCCTCTCGCAAGCCCACATGCTCATCATATACGCAAAATGTGAGAACACACTTCACTTGACTTTGTACACGCAATTTACACTTTTCAATTTACCTTTCTCAGTATACACTGAACTATTGAAAAACAAAACATACAATGCCACATGTAATATCATTAAACACCCTCCAACAACTGTTATGCAGCAGGGAACAGTTCAATTCAATTGACCATTTATTTAAAGTTTATGCAATAAATTATCAAATGTGTTTAAATCATCATGTGTTATCTGTGCTCCAATTTTAAATAACTGTATTTTTCTGCTGGGAAGTATTTTGCGCTTCCGCACGCCTACTGTTATACGCATAGCTAGTCTCGTTTTCAAGTTGCTTCACTGCATCTGACATGTGTACACACAAAGGCACTTCGAAATACTTAAACTTAACAGCAATTTATAGCTTATTGAGAACAGTTAATAATTTCTGTATTACTGCAACCATGCTCACAGTCAGTAGATCTAGTACATTTCAAAATAGATGGTATCGGGTTTTAAGGTCTCATGTGTGCTAAATTACAAATCTGCAACAAGTTTGGAGGCATTCAAAATAATTACAAGTAGTACGAGTGTGTTCCAAGATACCTGGATTAAAAGATATCTTCATACCATTATTACCATAGAAGCATTGAAAACGTCTTACCTGCAGTTGGTGTAACAGTTGATTTTCCAGTACCAGCCGAACTGTTTTGCCGGTTAATAGTACCACTCATATCAAGTGATGACATGTAGGCCTTATTGACATAAGGAATGTCTTTCAATTTAGCAACTTGTTCACTGTCCTAAAAAGTAGGTAAAGCTATTTTAATACACTTTATTAACAATTCACGTGCCACGAATCATATCAATCATGTACAGAAGTAGATTTGACTCATTTCAGGTGTTGTAATATACGATACAATCACAGTTACCATTTCAATAACATAAACAATCAATACCATTTCAATAACATTGTGAATCATGTAATTTTTGTATCTTCATATTTGTATTATTCTTCACTTTGTTCAGTTACACGCTTAAAGTTCACTTATAGTTAAAATCTTATAGTAAATTATTACTAGAACAATATTACTATATTTCTCTTCCGGCTCAACGACAGTTGCCCGCTTACTTTTTAAATTATAATTTTTTAGGGGATGGCTGACTAGATGACCATATGGTCTTTTCGCCATCCCTTCGCGGTATTGTTTCCTTATTTGCCTTGTTAATTCTTGTTTTATGTTGTAAGCGAAAAATAAAACTGTTATATCTTATATCTTATATCTTATAAACATCTCTGTGGAATTTTAAACTAAAAGAACCCTATAAAAGCAGAATATGCATGCAAATCTGTAAACAAAAAACTAAAACTAAACTGAAGCTAAAGAACCATTTCACCAAAAAGGAAATTTGAGATAATTCACTCTGCCCCTTTAACAGTTTCTAATTTGTTCTTGTATTACATTGCTCAACAGTTAGTTGATTTAATAACAACTGGCAGTCTCTATTACATAATTGCTTAGTGCAGTATTAAATCCCATCTAGGTTTTTAACATAATGTCCAGCAAGATGACGTGCTTACACAATTATCTGCTGATAATTTAAATATAATATTATAACAGATGTAATTATAATAATAGAAACAATTATAACAGAGTTTTTACCTGTGCTAGCTGTTTATCATGGGTATACTTAACATTATTAATTAGTGTTATTACACGGTTTTTAATCACCACAATATAGGTTCTCTTCTTAGCAATTTTTGCTACTCAAATACAGATCAATGCATGTATCCTAAAATTAATTACTCAAGCAGAAATAGAGGAAGATTTAAGAGAAGGCATGTAAACGTTGTAGAAAAATCTCGTAAAAAATATTTTATGAAATGAAGGTAGTAATTACAGAATGGATTACGATAACACCTGCCCTTTAGGCAGTTACTATAGCCTCGTTCACACAAGACCTCGTATTTCTGAAATACCGGATTTGCGAAATACCGTATCTGAGACAAATACGCAGCCGAGCGTTCACCCGCTGATTCGCGGCTCCAGAAATGCCGTATTTGCGAGCTGCGAGCTGCTTTAAACAATCAAGCGAACAATGCGAAATAAACAATGCAATGCGCACCAACTGCCGATAAAATACGTAGACTGGTCCGTGCACCAGTCGTTACACTGGAACTGTCGAGCGCGGACCAGTCTATAAAATACGCGGCTTCAGAAATCCGGTATTTAGCGTTCACACGAGGAAATGCGCGGTTCAAGAAATCCGGTATTTCTTAAGCACGGCAAATTATTCGGGGTCTGGGAAGCCTCGTATTTACATGAAATACCGGATCTGTTTAGATACCGTATTTCTTGGGCCTTGTATTTTGCCTTGTGTGAACGCTAAATACCGGATTTCTTGCTACGTGTCAACGCGGCTTATTTCAGTTCCACAGATGTAACGAGGGCTGACTGTATTTGTTCTGAAATTAATTACTACTGTAAGCATCAATGTGAATGATTACACACACTACACTGTACAAATTTAAGAGCCAAGAGAATCAGTCTATGGACATATCATCACCTATACCCCTACACCTACCTATTCACTAGTACATAGTATAAAAAATATTACTAAGAACTTTATTGTTATAACAAAAATTAAAAAATTATAATGCCAGAGGTCACACTGAAATATTTTTCTCTAACTAATACAGACCTTGTTTTCTATACTGTCAATTTTCATCACAACACACCCCTGGTGAGATCAGATGAATGTCACCAGTTGGTATTAATACTGAATTGCAATTGCACAACATCAAATGCAACTTTAGATTGTTAGGTGGCCGCTTTCTGAAAAGTGAGAGATCTTTCCCTAAAATGGGCAGACTTTATTTTAAACTATGTAATTAGGTGGGCTCATAGGATAAGTTATAAGACGACTTCTAAAATAATATTATTATCCTTGGTTTATTCACATCAAGTCACCAACATGCCAGGATGAAATAAACATGCACACATGTATATATATATATATATGCATGTCCCATCAATAGCCAACAAGTGATTGTTGTTTTTTGTGTCAATCAGAACAATCAGAACCTAGTACCGTGCGTGTGCCTTGCGTGCGTGCGTGCGTTTGTGTGACTCAGGGCACCCCGTGACTCTCTATGAAACCCGGTGCCTGCACACCGCACCGTGGCACAGCTGTTGTTGTTCGGACACCTTTGTCGCAGGCC